AAACATTTAGCCAGACTCATAAAAAAAAAGGACTCAAATAAAAATCAGAAAGAGAAGTTACAACAGACACCACAGAAATACAAAAGATTATAAAAGAAAAATGTGAGCAACTAGGGTAAAACAAATTGGACAATACAGAGAAAATGAATGAATCCCTAGAAATATGCAATTTTTCAAGACTGAATCAGAAGGAAATAGAAAATCTGAGAGAGACTGAGTACTAATAAGGAAATTGAATTAATAATAAAAAAAATAACTCCCAACAAATCAAAATCCAGGACCAGATGGCTTAATAGATGAATTCTACTGAATATTGAAAGGGGAATTGACATCTTCCTGAAACTGCTACAAAAAATTGAAGAGAAAGGAAGGCTTCCACATTCAGGAGTCCAGCATCACCCTGATATCAAAACTAGGCAAAGATGTTACAAAATAATTACAGGCCAAATATTCCAAGTGAATGTAGATGTAAACATCCTCAACAAAATATTAGCACACTGAATTCAAGAATAAATTAAAAGGATTCTATACCATGATCAGGTGGTATTTTTCCCAAGATGCAAGGATAGGTCAATATTTGCAAGTCAATCAACATGATATATCATATTAACAAAATGAAGATAAAAATCATATAATCTCAGGACATCTGGGTGGCTCAGGGGTTGAGCATCTGCCTTTGGCTCAGGGTGTGATCCTGGGGTTCTCAGATAGAGTCCCACATTGGGCTCCCTGCAGGGAGCCTGCTTCTCCCTCTGCCTATGTCTCTATGAATAAATGGATAGAAACTTTTAAAAAAATCATATCATCTCAATAATACTTAAAAAACATTTGATAAAATTCAACATCCATTTATGCGGAGAACATATCTCAACATAATAGAGGCCATATATGACAAACCCATGGTTAAAACATCATATTCTATAGTGAAAAGTTGCAGCTTGTCCTCTAAGATTAGAAACAAGACAAGGATGCCCACTTTTGGAACTTATATTCAATATTAGCACTAGAAGTCCTAGTCACAGCAATCAGACAAGAAAAGAAATAAAAGGCATCCAAACTGGTAAGAAGTATAATTGTCACTATTTGCAGATGACATAATTGTATATATATAAAATGCTAAAGACTCTACCAAAAAATTGCTAGAATAAGTGAATTGCAGTAAAGATGAAGGATATAAAATTAATATACACATATCTGTTGCATTTCTATACTCTAATAATGAATTGTCAGAAAGAGAAATTAAGAAAACAATCCCATTTACAATTGCACCAAGAAGAATAAAATACCTAGGAAAAGATATTTTAAAATACCTATTTAACCAAGGAAGTGAAATACTTGTACACTGGAAACTATATGATATTGATGAAAGCAACTGGATAACATGAATAGAAAGATATGCCATGCTTATGAATTGGAACAAGTAATATTGTTAAGATATCCATACTACCTGAAGCAGTCTATAGAGTCAATATAATCCTATCAAAATACCAAAGCCATTTTTCAAAGAACTAGAACAAATAGTCCTAAAATTCGTATGGAAGTAAAAACAACCCTGAATAACCAAAGCAATGTTGAAAGAGAAGAACAAAGATGGAGACCATCATACTCTTTGACTTTAAAGTATACTACAAAGCTTTAATAATCAAAACAGATGACACACACACACACACACACACACACACAAAATGGACACACAAATCAATAGAATACAGAGCCCAGGAAAAAAACCCACAATTATATGGCAGTTAATCTATGACAAAGGAGACAAGAATATGTGATGTGAGAAAAAGATAGTCTCTTCAGTGAATGATGTTGGGAAAACTGGACAGTTACATGGAAAAGAATGAAACTGGACCAGTTTTTCAATCCACATACAAAAATAAAGTCAAAATGAATTAAAGACATTAATTTAAGACCTGAAGTCTTAACAGTCTTAAAAGAAAATATAATCAGTAGGCATAGCACATGGGTCTTAGCAATATATTTTTTGTACCTATCTCCCCAGGCAAGGGCAACAGAAGCAAAACTAAACAAATGGGACTACATCAAACTAAAAAGCTTTTGCACAAAACCAACAACAAAATGAAAAGGCAACTTACCAAATGGAAGAAGATATCTGCAAATGATAAATCTGATAAGGTATTAATATATCCAAAATATATAAGAAACTAATAGAACTCAACACCAAAAGTAAATAAATAATAAACAATTTACTTTAAAAATGGGCAGAGGAGGGAAGTGAAGAGGCATCTTCCAAAGATGTACAGATGGCCAACAGACACACAAAAAGATGCTCAACATCACTAATAACTAGGGAAATGCAAATAAAAACTGCAATAAGATATCACCTCATACCAATCAGAAGGACGAGAAATAAGCGTTGATAAGAATGGGCAGAAATGAGAACCTACACCTGTTGGTGGGAATGTAATCTTGTGCAGCCATTATGGAAAACAGTATGGAGGTTCCTCAAAAAATTAAAAATAGAACTACCATACAATCCTCCGATTCCACGTCTCGGTATTTATCAAAAGAAAATGAAAATATATCAAAAAGATAATATGTGTCCCTATGTTCATTGCAGTACTGTTTAAGATAACCAAGATACAGAAGCAGCCTAAGTGTCCATCAACACATGGATAAACCTAAAAATGTGATAGATATACAATGGAATATTACTCAGTCATGGAATATTGCTCAGTCATTAAAAGAATGAAATCTTGCCATCTGCAACAGCATGGATGGTTCTTGACCGTACATGTTAAGTGAAATAAGCCAGACAAAGACAAATACCACATGATTTTATTTATATGTCAAATCTCAAAAACAGGACAAATGAACAAAAAAACAAACAAAAAACAGAATCAGACTCTTAGATACAGAGAACAGACTGGTGGTTGCCAGAGGGGAGGGGTGTGGGTAAATGAGTGAAATTGGTGAAGAGGATTAAAAGGTACAAATTTCCAGTTATAAAATAAATAAGTCATGGGAATATAAAGTACAGCATAGGGAATGTAGTCAATAATATTGTAATAACTATGTATGGTGACAGGTGATCATTAAAGTGATCATAGACTCATGATTATAGACTCATTACAGTGATCATTTTGTAAGGTATGTATATCAAATTACTATGCTATATACCTAAAATTAATATTGTATGTCAACAATTTAAATTTTTTTAATTAAACAAAATACTGAAAAGCATTGAAATGAAAAAAAACATAGACTTGAACTTTATAAACTTGTATACTTTTGAAGTAAAATATTAAATTAGTTACTCAATAATTCTCCTCCTATATGTACATGACTTTACTATTTGTATAAAGTGTTGTGACTTCCCAGTATATCAGGTACATCCATTTTCAAATATTACATACAAGATGCATTCTAAACTCAAATAAGTAATACTTTAGTTTGAGCACTGTTCACTCTATAAATTCCAATATAAATATAAATGTATGTAAAATATATTCACATCTAAGAATATTACAAAGCAACTACTTCACTATAGGTTCCTTAAAAAAGATTATCATAGCATAATTTGAAAGAAATTATTTGAATTCTCATTTTTTAAGAGTTATAAGTATTATATAAGTTCCTGTTGGACTGGCAGATGAAGTAAGAGATGCGTTGTTAAACAAGATTTAGGGAATTTAAACAATAATGGGGAACTCAGAAAAGTAAATTCATAATGAAAGTCTTAGTAGAGTATTATAATTTAGGGTCAGTGAGAACTCAGGAGGGATGGTCAAATGCCTGATGAATTCACAACAAATTTAATGTGTATATTCAGTAGGTTGCTCATTTTTGTACTTACTGCTGTTTCATGAAAAATTACTATCTGAGGTAACCTTAAGATTTTACATATTATTCTTTACAAATGCATGGTTAAAATTGTTATTCCCAGACAGTAAGCAGGGTATGCAGCAAAAAATGAGACAGAAAAATTAAAACAATACATTTAGCTACTTGTTTCTCCAGGATTTGGTACATTTGAAATATTTAGAATTTATCTGGTTATTATTGTTTGCCAGACAATGTCATGAGAGCATTTCCTGTCTCAATCCTCTCAACCCTCTTAAAGTACAATTCCAACCTATTGAGATACTATTATTAGTCTCATGTTTTAGATGTGGAAACTAGGGCTTTGCATGGTCAAAGAACTAGCCCCAAGCCATAAAGCCAGAAGCTAAGCTTTTAATAACTGTGAATAGATCTTTTCTTATAGTGTGAGGAAAAGCCATAAAGCATAGGGGGCCAGTGAGACTGAGGAATTTGGTGGACAGTAGGGGTGGCATGCAAGTTCAGTTATCCATCCTTAAGCTATTTATTGCCACAGATCACTGAAGAGACTCATTAGTTCAGCACATTACACAGAAGCCTCTCAAATTTTTCTAGCAGCTGAATATCCAAGAGTGTCTATCCCAACACAGTGAAAGCAAATTCTGTAATTATGTATCTAATCACTTAACATCAAGATATTCATTATACATTCTTACATAAAACACTAATGCATTTACTAGTATGGTCATAAGCTGAACTTCTAATTCTAAACAGGGCTTGCAATTATTTTTAGGATGATCTGAAATTCCACAACCAAAATATTCTTTGAAATCCACATCTTCAATTTATGGCTCCTTCCAATTATAAAACCTTATCTAGGTATTACTGATGTACCTAGACTTCATTATATTAAATAGTATTTATATTAGTACTTCAGTACTAGTAAAAGAACTGTGCCTTAAACTGAACCAAACATCTATTACACTGAATTGCCACTTATGCTAAAATCAGTTCAATTACATAAAAGTCATTTGCCACATGGATTAAAGAACATAATCCCATGCTTGAAGAAGACCTTAAAACCGTAATTCAAATTTTTAAGAAGTATAATTTAAAAATGATTCAAGAACTTTAGGCGCATTTTCTAAAAAAAAAAATAGTTTAATTCTTGTAATGCTCTTTAATTTACATAAATGATAAAAATCTCATTCTTGGACTTAGTGGGAAAACATGTTCTAATTTTTTTAAGGCTTTAATGAAGAGTGTTTTTAGAAAAAGAGTGGTGTGTGTATATATATATGTATATAACTAATGAAAATAGCTAACATTTTCTAGAGATCCAGGGGAGCTAACTTATAAGAATTAAATGTTGCTTAAATTTAACAGCATTTGAATATATTTTTTAAAAAGTGATATGCTACAGTTATTAAAAATAGTGTTCTCTCTACAATCTATTCCTATTTCATTATATATTACAAAAACTTACACCCCAGAAAAAAATTACAATTATTTTGTAATGTACACATGCATAATGAAGAGGTTTGACTACATGACATTTTCTCTTTAAAACAAAGACGTTTCAAAGGTAGAGAAAACCCAGATTTTGGTTAAGTAATTGAAGTAAATGTAAGAGAAAGTCACTAGTACGTTTTTACAAAGGCCCAATACAGGTGTGACAGTTCCCAGGGCAATGATTAAACCAAGTCTAACAAAAATAAAGGGTAAATCCTGGAGAAGAATGCTCAGGAAATTCAGAAGAGGGTTCTGAGGAGTTAATATAATTCGAAGGATAGAAATAAAACTGAAAATGTAGACTGGGTATAGCCAGCCTGACTTATACACCGAGGGGTGGCCAGCCACGCGCACCATTTCTATGGTGTCAGACCATATAACGAAGCTCCACAGGAAGATTTGGGCTCGATCATCTTCTTGGGACATTGCTCTCAGGACTCTCGAGTGAAAGACAGGCTCTTGGGGTACCCTCAGCACTGGGGTGGAGATCTGTGTCCTTGTTGCTGATGGCTGTGATGCCTGGGTCGTCCAGGCTGGCTGGGGAGGTGAAGTGTTTTCTTCCTTTTGTTTCACTTGGTCTGTCACAGTTTTTATTTGGTGCAAAGTAGTTGTATGAATGTACCTGTCTTCATTACCTGCAATAAATTGATTTATTCAAATTTGTAATTAAAAAAATTATGTAAGTTAACATTTTATTTCAAATTTATGTAAATTCCAAATTTTTTAATTTTAATATATAATTTAAAGATAAAATTGTGTTATCTTATTTGATGTCTGTTTTACACATGGAAATTCAGACAAAAGTGGGAAGCATAATGACCAAAAAGACCCCACAAAAAAAAAAAACCCTCCAAAAGAACAGAGGCAGAGAAGGTTCTTCATATTTTTAGTTTTTTCTAGATATGGATCTCAAGTCATTTCTACCACTTCACAGTACTAGCCCTACTGGCTAGTGAGCTAAGCACTTTCACATATTACCTCATTTAATCCTCAGAAAAAATCTGATAGATGGGGATTACTATCCCATTTTATAAATATAGAAACTGCAGCCCAAGAGATGAAATGACACCCTAATTCAAATACACAGTAATGATCAGAGCTGGAATTCCCACCCAGCTTTATTTGACCCCAATTGACAATCTCTTAACTTTATGGCTGCTATTACCATCTGGAGGCAATACATCATGTGCTAATTATAAAACATACAAAAACATAAAATCAAATGACTCCAAAAGTCCAATGGTCCAATCTCGTCCTTTTTAATAAGAAGTCCACAAGGATCACTACAACCCAGATCTCCAGGCTCGGAGCTTGGTCTTAAGAGGGAATGTGTTTGACCATGAGAAAATCTTAGTGAAGGGTGCCACTCGAATCCAAGGTTTTTTTAAGCTGTAATTTTTTTAAGCTGTAATTTTGAACCAATCAGTACAATTAATTAGACTAAAGCAACTTGTTTGTGGCCATAAGGCTATCCCTGAAAGACATGACAATCTTCTGAATAAGGGAGATAACTTCTCATGAGTATCACATTGTGTATGTGCTGACACATGGGTCTCTCTGTGCACACATGGGTGTTGAGGTTGGGGGAGTATGAAGGGATCCTCAAATTTCAAAACTTACTACCAATGTTAATAGTCTGGTTTTCATACATGAAAAGTACAGCACATTATTTCTCAAACATTCATCTAGTTAAGCACCATTTTTTGCTAAGAATTTTTAGGTCTTAACAAAGTTTATTTATTCAGCAAACATGCTGAACTGTCATATTATTTGATAAGACAAAATTTAAAGGAGTCATTATGCTGAATAGCTCTAAAGGTTAAAGACACGAAGTCAATAAAAGTTTGAACTATATTGAACTGATGTGAAAACATTTTAAAATAAATAAATTATGATTAATGATTAATACTTGATTACTATAAATAGGAGCTGTTTAAAGAACAAACCTTTTTTTTATATAATGAACTGCTGTAAAGTTTTAAGTGTGAATTGAGTTAATCAATAAACTAAAACGATAATTTAAATTCTTGATGAAGTATTACTTACTTCTGATATGAATCATTTGTATACATAGTTTGTAAGGGTCCTACTATATATATAGAAACTTCTTTACCAACCTTAGATGACATAGCATGGATGAATATCATTTTTATATATAATAGTCAAGTAAGAAAGAAAATTATACACTATTATTTTAACATTCATAAAACCATCTCTTTTTAAACTCAGATGCTTACTGGCATCAATTATATCTCTCATTTTACAAAAGAGAAAAAAAAACATGGAAATGATGTTTCTTAGAGTATGTCATGCCCTGGAAAACTCTCCTTCACCTGTCTTAGTAGATAAAGCTGTTTGAATGGAAATCCAAATTTCTTTGTCAACATAAATAATGCAGTGCATAATTTGGGCTTTGGAGGATGATTGCAAATTCAGCACTGTTTCAAGGCCAGGAAGCAGCAATCTAAGAAGTGACACATTAACATTTTTTTTTAAGATTTTATTTATTTATTCATGAGAGACACAGAGAGAGAGGCAGAGACAGAGGAAGAAGCAGGCTCCTCTCAGGGAGCCTGATGCTGACTCAATCTCAGGACCCCGAGATCACACCCTGAGCCAAAGGCAGATGCTCAACCGTTGATCCACAGGCGTCCCAACACATTAACATTTTTAAATAGTCAGTAAAAATCTTAATATCTGTGGATAAGATCCGTGGGATGAACAATGAATTCTTGGCTAGAGTTCATTTTTAATAAAATAGTTTTATTATAAGTCCTAATCCATGTGTATTTGGTGAAATTGGGGCTGGAAGCTTCATATCTCTCTATTGCTCAATAGAGACTGAGGGATTCTGTTGTCCCCTTTCCAACTGAGAAGTACTAGAACTACCAGCTAGAAAGTTCTGCGGGCCTGGCAGAGGGCAACATAGTGTTGAAGAAGCCAAGAAACTGGTCACAAATTTATCCTCAAGCAATGTAAACTTTCATGTATTCAATACTATTCCATTTGAGTCAATAACTAGTTCCCCTTCAAATTATTATTTTTTTAATTTCCACTTTGTTCTTTTGTTGTTGTTAGTGTTCTATTGCGGTAAAATGATATTTATTTGTGCAAAATCCATAAAAAATATAAGCATGAAGAAAGAGATCTACTCAAAAGTAGCAGGCATTCTGTGGAGTTCCCTACATCTAATGCCAGGTGCCAAAACAACTTTTTGTCTTCATTGTGAAAGCTAAACAATAAGAAAATATCATTTAAATCACAGATAAAAGTTTAAGTAGGTAACTCACATCTATTTTACTTTTTATTATTATTTATTTATTTGAGAGTGAGAAAGATAGAGCATGACCGGGGATGGAGGGCAGAGAGAGAGAGGGACAAGCAGACTATGCACCCAGCATGGAGCCCAATGAGGGGCTGGGTCCCACCACTCCAAGATCATGACATGAGCCGAAACCAAGAGTTGGACACTCAAGCAACTGAGCCACCCAGGCACCCCTTGATTATTTCTCTATTTTGATGTATTTTTATCTTTAACTTGTCCCCCAAAGTTTTAGATAGCTCACAGGGAAAACCTAAGAACAACAATAACAGATTAGTAGTGGAGAATTTTCTAAAGTGAGCATGTATTCCTCTGGTGAGAGAATAGGAAAAAAATAAAAGATATTTATATACAAGAGAAAAAGAGAGAATCATAAGGAAAGGTGCCTAAAACCAAGACACAGATGGAACTAATACTAAAAATACACTGGTTAGGCTCCCAATGTCTGTCAGTAGCAGACAGATTTTAGAGTGCCGTACCAAGCTCAACTGGGGATAGAGGATGGTAGCAGATACTGTGGAAACAGCAGTCCTAACCTCACCATCCTGTCACCTGTGATCACATCAATAAATACAGAAGAATAAAATGTGGTGGGACTTTAAAAGGAAGGTTAGGGGGTACATGGGTGGCTCAGTGGTTGATCATCTGCCTTCGGCTCAGGTTGTGATCCCAGGGTCCTGGGATCAAGTTCCGCATCAGGATCAGTCCCACATCAGTCCTGCAAGGAGCCTGCTTCTCCCTCTGCCTATGTCTCTGCCTCTCTCTTTGTGTCTCACATGAATAAATAATTTTTTTAAAAATAAAAATAAAAATAAAAGGAAGGTCAGTTCTATTGAATGGGTCTGAGACTGGAGGTCAGGACGGCTCATCTGAGAAGTAACAGTTAAGCAGAAACCTGAAGAGTAAGGAGGAAGGAACTTTCTAGGTGGTAGAAAAGGCATGTGTAAAGATCTTCCAGCCAAAGTGATTGAAAGAGGGAAAGTTTTATAAGGAGTTGGGGAGGCAAAAAGGGAAGAAGAGCAGAAGAGCCAAAACCTAGTAAGTGCTCTCTATATACCAGGCACTGTTTAATTCATTGAATCCTTATAAAAACTCTATAGTATAGATACTTTTATTTTCCCACCTGGAAGATGAATAAACTGAGGCACAGAGAGATTAACAATTGTTTCTAAGGTCACACAGCTAGCAAAGAGAGCAACCAGAACTTGAACCTCAAACCCTTTGCCCCTAGATCGCATTATCAGTGGCGGAGTCAGGCATAAAGTGTGTGGCACCTAGTGGGCCATGGTAAAGTCCTTGGGCTTTCTTCTAAGCTCAGTGGAAAGCTGCTAAAGATGGAAACTGGAAGGCAGAGGAACCAGAAAGGATATGGAGACATCAGCAAAGAGGTTCTCAAGGCCACAGAGGCAGCTGTTGTGAAATGAGACTGTTACCCAATTCACAGCAACCGGATCAGATCAGAGAATTATTCAGGAAAAAAAAATGTTCTAGAGAAAGTGAAATGCTAATGAATTAGAAATAACATTATGAGAAAAAAAATCCGGAAGAGAAGAAAATTGTCATTACATATGAAGTATGTTAAGCACACAAAACACTTGGGGTCATAATCTTGGAGACTACAAAAAAATGTAATAAAATACACTGCAGGGCACTTATCTACATTGTTATTTTTTTTTAAAGATTTTATTTATTTATTCATATGAAAGACACAGAGAGAGAGGCAGAGGGAGAAGCAGGCTCCATGCAGGGAGCCCGATGTGGGACTTGATCCCTGGTCTCCAGGATCACGGCCTGAACCAAAGGCAGGAGCCAAACCGCTGAGCCACCCAGGGATCCCCTACATTGTTATTTTGAAGGTATCTACTAACTAAACTCAACTGGACTATGGTATCAGTTGTTTCCTTTGAGCAGCACATCTGAGGTCAGGGAAAACCACTAACTTCACTGCCAAATAATAAATGATGAAACCAGGACCCACCTCACAGGGTGGTTATGAGGAATGAACAAGTCAATATGTGTAGAACATTTAAATAGCGCCTGACACACAGAAACAGACATATGTGTTAAACAAATCACACAGAGCAATCCCTAAATATCAAAGTGCAGTACATAGTAAAAGGGATCAGTTTGTTAAACTTTGGTTATAGTTACACTGTTACCCACTATCCCATTTATGGGGGGGGAAGGAGGACAAGTTTGAGAAACTGTGTCATACTACAGAGCCTTCAGGAGGTCATGACTTTAATTCTCATATTTGCCTGTTCATACCACGCAGAAAAATGCTCCCTCACAGATATAGCAGGTGCAGGTGCA